TATACGGGGTTTAATTGTTTCTTCCAATGTCTGGATTGGGATCCCCACATGTATCCTCGGAAAGATATATCAGATCTCGTCATTCTGGAATCCACTTATCGACAGCTCTCATTTATTCTGTCGCAATGTAATCATCAGTAGAACTTGTGTCCCTATACCGTTCACTGATGATAAATGGTGCTTCGGAAGATTCGTGGAAAAAATCATAATGAGTTGCCAGAAACTGTTGCGAAGCATTTTTTGGAAAACTCTGATCATAGTGACAAGTGATTTATCCAAACGTCGATTTTGTCCGTTTACTGCTACCATGAAAACGTGTACAGTTTGTGTTTTGACTTCTTTCCGTTTGCTTACCAATTCTTGTATGGCGGAAGCGTCTGTCTCCGTCAGGATTGCATGAGCCAATATTTTCGATTTTTGTCAGCCGATCAATAAATCTATGGAAAAAACATCGACAAATTGGGTTGGTTCTGTAAAGCTTTCAGAAGAAGCCTAAACAACAAAGGTTGAGTGGTACTGATCTAGTCCAGCAATGATTTAACTAGGACTGCTGTTTGCAGTGTCAGTTTCCGATAACGATCAATTTTTAACACCTGGTTTCCCCAACTAGCTGCTCCCAGCTGTTTCCAGTTGGGGACTTCTGGTTTGCCTATTTCGGTGCAGCACTCGTGCTAGCAGACTGTCCAGCTAAAACTAACTCCTATTCTTTTTTTGTTTGGATTTGAAGTGAATTCTCAGAAATATATGCCTAATGATAAATGATGTTCTGATAAGTTTGTAAAGCTCTTCACATACATAGTATCCGAAACATAGCTTATCAAAAAAGAAGAGCCACTTCAAGAATCATTATGAGAACTTATATATCAGTTTCAATAACCCGCAGTAACCTTTGAGCAGTTCAAAAGAGCATTCTGAATTTTCTTTTTGGTGCCCTTTTTTCGAGATTGCTCTCGAAAGCAGGATGGTAAATTTTATCTCATGAGATCATTTCAAAATTTTCTATAGCTCGTCAGGTAAGTGTTAAATGGTTTCTGATCAAGTTCTTCAAATAAAAAAACGTAAATCGCTCATTCTGATTGGGTGAGAGCTGAGTACAAAATTTGAGTTTGCAAATGTTCTAGGCCCAACTCTGACAGTTAAATTGACGGTTGTCTATTGTTATCCTCACTTGGAGATCGCTTGAAGATATTATCCAGGGTTTTCTTGTCTCTTCCAATGTCTGGGATTGGGATCCCTATATGTATCCTCGAAGAGATATTTCAGCCATCGACTTTCAGAAATCTACTTATCCACTGCTCTCATTTATTTTGCCACGATGTAATCATCGGTTGTCCCTCTTTCCCTATACCGTTCACTAACGATAAACGGTGCATCGGAAATTTCATGGAAACAATAACAGTCAGTTACCAGAAATTCTTGCTAAGCATTTTTTGGAAAAATCTGATCATTTTGACAATTGATTCATCCAAACGTCGATTTTGTCCGTTTACTGCTACCATGAACACGTGTACAAAATTTACTATACTTCGTCAGCTAAGTGATAAGTGATTTCTGATCATGTTCCCGAAAGAAAGCGTAACTGGCTCATTATGTCTGGGTGAGAGGTGAGTAAAAATTTGATAGTGCTTAAATTAGCAATTTGTCTGCTTTTAACAGCTCAGTTAAAAAGCAGAAACAATGTAAGGTTGCTCTTCAGACCTGCTAATAAATTGCATAAACTGCTTTTTCCCGTGCCTGTTTCTCCAAAACAAGCAGTAAAGCCGAGCCTTACGGACCAGATTTTGAACTATTTGCGTCCGCCCGTTTCTACTTACTGATTTCAAAATCTTCCGTACTGCATCTGTTAGGACAGACTGTCCGAGTGAAATCCTCTTATCATAGTGGACAGTGTTTGAGTCAAATCGTAGATTTATTTTTTTTAGTTCTGTAAGCTTGTACAAGTTATCCTTGCCTCCTTAATGTGCTAAACTATTCATTGCGGGTTTCGCTTCAGTTTTTCATACAGAATCGTCGAAGCCGTTGGTATCGGTAATTCTTTTGTGGCCAAGTGACAATTTAATCCACATCTGGAATGTGCGTACTGCACCATTCATATCAAAACCAGAAACAGCGAGCATATCATGACGTAGCAAAGGGTGTTTTTACCAGTGCCGTTTTTTTCCAAAATTGAGCCTTTTTTTGCTATCATTGTCGGCCAAATACTCAACTGGCTGCGCCCAGCCCATTTCAATCAGGGATGTCCAGATCATCCATTTCGTCACGAAACCATTTTCTGCTCTGTTGTGTTTAAAGCCTAGTCGAATAAAAAACTCAATTTAGAAAAGCTAATTCGTTGAAGTGAGCTTTTTTGATTTTGTTATTTCGAATGAAGAGTAAGCCTCCGATTTTTTTGTAAAACAGAACAAAGTGATTTCATTCAGAATTTCGGCGAAAATCATCTGCTGTTCTTTGTTGCATAAAACCGTAGCAATTTCGTTAAATTAGCTCTGACTCATTTCTGTAAAGTTTCCTCATTGAAAGTTTTTTTTTAAATTAAAAACCAGTCAATAATACTGCTCATACTGAATCTTTCAATTGAAAACAAGTCGTAAATAGTAGTGCGCTCGCATATAACTGGAACTCGCGGATCAAGTGCTAATGCTTCCCGGAAAATGCAAATGGCCCTATTGGAGTTCGATCACTATCGCTAGGATTCCGATCAAAGCTTGGTATTTTGTAGACCTGATTGATGAATGCTTGAAATGAGATTGCCAGACCCACTTGTACTGTCGGTCTTATGCCCCTAGCGTAGCCTTATCATATTACACAATTTGTTATGAGGGTTTTAGATTTTACTGACAAAATAAATCAGATGTCCACGTGAAATACTTCTCCTAAACAGGTCTACATAAAAACAGTAAAAAAATTACTCAAATCAAGTTTTCTTCTGCAATGAAACTCATCAGTTCAAGCCTTTAAGCACAGAAAGCCGTAGTGCTAAGTAATCGCTTCATTTTAAACTTGTTTGCTTTCGCTCCAAATATCTTACTTGGGTTTTGGGTTTATTAAGATGAAGCTTTAAAGAAATCTGTGTCTCAATATATCACATTGATGTGTTATCTCAAAATATAACATTGATCTCAAAATATCTCAAAATATCACATTGATGTGTTCTCTGGATTGAAATACTTTTGTTTCAAATTGTGAATTATTTAAATTGTGATGCTAACATTCAATTCACGATCTAAAGTCTTTTTTTTGTGATCTCTATTCCTGGTGCGAACAAGATAATAAGGGAGTTGTCTTAATCAAAATATCTTTGTTAGGTCACAAGTTAAAAAATAGTTGTTTAAGCACACGTTTTTTTCGTAAATTTCGGGAAAAAGAGAATATAAAGCGGGTTTGAAATATAAAAAAGTCCTCAAGTCAAAAATAATCAGATCCACGCGAAACACTTTTCTTTAAAAAGTTGAGAATCTAAATCGGAAATCACATTTTAATACTTGTGAGCCTATTGGATTAGCAAAGTTTTAATAGTGGTTTCTGGTCAAATATTTCCTTGAATGTTAGACATTTGTAACATAAATTACCAAGGATCTAGTTGAAATCAACGTATGTTATTTTTAATCTGTAGACCCGTCCCTAATGGAACAAAATTAATGGTTGTTTTATGAAAAAAGTATAGAATCTCATTCTAACGTGGTTTTGGAAATTGATACTAGAATCCTTTTGAACGACTCCCTTGTTGTATATGAAGTCTCAGCTGATGTTGATTCGTTGTTTTGCTGATCCTTCGCTTTTACTCAATCAATTTTTCTCGTCTCCTTCTCAACATCAATCATAAGTTAGAAATGGCAATACAATACAATATCTGGTCCCTTTAAAAATGATTTCAAGTGAGAGTCGAAACTTGGAACTTAAGCTAGATACGTGCTGTTTTATTTTAAGGTATTGCCTAATCAAGTTCCTCTGAAAACATTCTTTCTGCTGATAAAAAACCGTTAAAAGTACTTTGTGAAATTTCAACAGCCGAAACCAGATATAGTATTTGCCAGACATTGCCATAAATTTAATTAATGTCTGTATCATAATATGACTACCCCAGCTATTTTTTAAACAGAGATTCTTTTCCTTTTTTATAACAAAACATTTCTCAGTCAAGAAAATCCAATTAAACCTAATTAAATATTAATCTAAATTTAAACTCGTTCACACTCGTGTAATTATATTATATAACTAACTAGTCTAATTTTTATGCCGGCTCTTTTCAGCTTCTTATTCGGTGAACATTGTTTCTTTAACTTTCAATTTTTTGCTATCATCAAGAAAATCAATGCAAGAAATAATTTATCTGTATTTCCACAAGGGAAACATTCTCATATAAGTCAGTACATTTTAACGGTTTATTTTTTTTGTGATATTTCGAATCTTAAACACTGAATATCACTGTGTAACTGGTTCAGATTTTTAGAGCCGGCATAGTTTTAAATCGAATATGGAGTTTATATTCTGATTCATTTCATTTAGGATCAGTTAATCATTACTTAATTAATAAAGTAATTAATTAATTAGTTGATTAATTAGTGATTAATTGATTAGCCTACTCCAATCAGTGGTTGCCGTTTCTTCTTTCTCTCTGTATACATGTAGTGTACTGTATTGTACAGCTGACCTCAATTATTGTATTCGGATGTTGGTTGTATATTTTATTCCTACTACCACTATTATGAAGTATTTACTGTTGCTAGTAAATAACCTTAATCGGTGGTTCCATTTCAAATGTCAATTCAAAATTCCCTATCCTTTATTTTTCGAAATAGCTCAATCCAAATAGTCTAATGAAAAATTTCCAACAACTTTGTTATTTAACTGCCAAGTAAAGTTAAAAAAAATTGAAACTAGAAATGAAGCTAAATTTCCTGCATTTCTTTCTGTTCTTAAAGCTTCCGATTAGCATTGAATGTGTAAATGTGTATCTTATTTGACGATGAAAACCAGGAATGGAATATTATTTCAGTCTATTGCAATGTACTCCCCGCAGAGCAAAGCCAAACATGAAAAAATCTACTCTGGTCTGAAAAAGAAGTTCTCAACTGTCAAGAAGGGCGAGGACTATCGCGCCCACTCGGGAAAAGTCCATTCCATCTCGTGGAACTCAACTGGGAACAGAATAGCGTCATGCTCGAGTGATAAAACTGTATCTGTTTTTGACTTCGATGGAACGAAGTTGTCGAGAAGCCCGACGTGTCTGAGAGGTGGGAAAAGAAATTTGATTGCTAATAAACGATCCTTGAGTGCTTTTGTTCTCCTATAGTTGCCGCCGAGGAGCTGAGTTTTCTCATTTAGAAAATGTAGAAACAAAAACATTATACAGCTGCCTAGTAAAGTTGAAAATTCATTACATACATGAAGGTATTCTGGAGATAATGGGACACTCACTGGAGTGCGCAGAAATTTTTCAAGGGGGGGGGGGCGGTTTTTTGAAAGAAAATTGAAAATTTTGCCGGCCTTTTTTTTAGGTCGACCAATTTGATTTTTGAATTTCCGAGCTCTGCTAAAATAGTATAAGGACCCTATTTTGTGAAAAATTTTCTGCGCCGCAGGCAACTTTTTTGAAATACAGGTAAAAAAGGCGTTTTTATGCACTTTTTGGAAACTTGTTTCAGTGAAAATGGAAGACAAAGTTATAACAAAGGACCGAAGAAGGCTTAGGTGTTTTTAACTATAAATCATAATAAATCTGTTTTCAGCCATTGCGTAATATTAAAAGATAACATAAAAACATTTTAATTTAGCCTTTGGTTTAGCAGACACTGGAGGCTATCCAGCCTGTTGAAAACGCCGCTATAAATTTTATTAAAAGGTTTCAACAAAAAAATATGAAAGTTTTAATTGAGCTCTGTTGGATTTTGAACTAAACTATGAAGTACCCATCGAAATGAAATGACATTACCTTTGATATATCGATCCTAAGAAAACCCAAATTTTGATTGAATTAATTTTCAGCTCAGTTTTTCTGAAAAATAATAATTACGTTTTAAATTACATATTAGTTAACAAAACAAGATTATCCTGTGGATCATCATATCAAAGAATCCCTGGAAACTCCATAGGGATTATGGTGAAAAAGTTATGAGACCGAAAACGGACCAGAAGGTCCCTTGACTATGTCTCAGGCTAAAGTTAAATGGTTGTAAATGCGTAATAATACAATCAATTTTGGTATGTCTGCCTGATACAATTAGGTCTTATTTGATTACTTCAGTAAATTATTGTCAATAGTACCTTCTTGGAAACCAGATTTTTTATTAATAATTTTTGTATTCTAGGTCACACTGACTCTGTAGACCAAGTAGCGTGGTGTGGTAAGAACTCGGACCTGCTAGTCTCTGCTTCGGCTGACAAATCCATCCGACTGTGGGACTGCAGAAATCTGTCCACTAAAATATCACCTGTCACAATTGCAACCAAGGGCGAAAATATTAATCTGTGCTGGAATCCTACCAATACAAATCAGGTTTGCTCGATAGTTTTGGTTCCTTTTTGCTCTAAAAGACCTTTGTGCCCATATCATATATGCTGTTATTATTCAGACCATTTATCCACGAGGGATAGGACCAACATACGAGCTGTACAGCTCATCACGGCAAACCGCTGTTCTGCCCCTGCTTAAGAAATGCATTTTTTTTGGTTATTTTTCTGGGCTGGTTAATGTTGCCTCACCCTCAAGCAACGAGCATGCTGTTTACTTATGTGGGCACTCGTTTAAAAGTATGGTCCCCTATAAAAGTCAGACATAGAAGTTTTTAAAAGTAGCTTCTAAGTTTTGCCAGTGAACTGATATTTTTGATAATTTCACTTTAAAGGCAACGTTAGTGGCTAATCTAACGAAGAGTTGTTTGCACGTGTTCCTTTTGTTTTCATCTACTTGAAGAACTGTAAGTATTTTTCAAGTGGTCTGACGATATCACACTTCTAAACGAGCTTTTGAATGGGACTCATAAAAAACGGTGGGACTATACTTCTAAAAGCGCACTAACATGTGTACTTGTATAATATTCATTTCGTTCTTTTAACTAGATTAGAAAAATAGTAATGTAAAATATTCATATGGCGATGGCGAAAGTTTTTCAGTGTACGTTGAAGAAATTTTTCGATTCATACAATTTTTCGGAGACGTTTAAAATGGACTAGTCGTGGCCTCCAAGGCAGTAATATTGTCGGTGTAGTTTTTGAAGTTCTAAAGTATAACTATGTAAACAGTTTTATCTGATTATTTATCGAAAGTATCATTGTATCGCAAGTGACGCCAATATCCGCTTCCCCTTAGTGATAATTATTAGTATGATTATTATTCAAAAAATATTTGAATTGAATCGTTTGGGGCTACTTATTTGCTGTATCTAACAGGTACTGGTGGGAAATAAAGAAGATCTAATCAGTGTTTTCGACATCCGATCTCAAAAGTCAATCATAGACCAGCAGTTCCGGTTTGAAGTGAATGAGATGTGTTTCAACAATGCGGGAAACCTCATTTTCCTGACAACTGGAAACGGGACTATTTTAGTACAAAGTTTTCCAGAAATGAAGTTGCAGTCTACAATTAAAGCGCATTCTTCAAGTGCAATATGTGTTAAAATGAGCCCCGATGGAAAATACTTCGCAACAGGTGAGGAAAAATTAGATTGATAGTTAAGACTTCAAATGTTATTAAGCTGAGAGTGAAGAAATTGTCTCATTGAGTGTATAATAATAATCTGATCTGATTGCTTTTTCTGAAGTAGCCAAAGTGTCTCCCAAGTAGATTCGAACTTCTGTGCCTGGTTACACGTCAAAAAAAATCCATTTTCATTTCATTGCAGAATAGTTATTTTTGAAAACCGTGCTTTTGAAAAATGGTATATAATTTTTTGGGAATCTTCTGGACAAAAGATGCAAAAAAAGGATGGATTTATCGCAAAGTGACGAACTAATTGAGCCCTTTTATGCAGAGTAAAATCTAATTCTACTCGTTTTGCTTTCTTGTAGGAGGAGCTGACGCGGTGGTGTGTCTGTTCGACTACTCCACCTTCATCTGCATCTCAGCTGTGTCCAGACTAGACTGGGTCATCCGGGTGATCGGGTTCAACCACGACAGCTCCATGCTAGCTGCTGGCTCAGAGGACACTTTCATTGGTACTTTATATTCAATTTTGTCTTTCGAATTTAGTAAGCCTAGCTGTTCATGGGTAGAAAAACTGCTAATTTAGTTGATATGGGAATCCAACGGAAAAAATGATCACTGGAAGCTGATGCTTTTTTCCTATCGTTAATTGAGATCATAGCTAAAGTTTAGAGTAATGATCGTCTCGAGAATCGAACAGAGTATAAATGTCTGAGTGGATTCAATTTCAGCAAAAAAGTTTCAGAATTAACTTTGATTTGTTTAGCGTTTTTTTTTTGCATCAAATGCTCAAACAGTTTACCTCGTTCACAGATGTGAGCTATGTGCCGACCTGTTCTGGCATTGGCCAAGTACCTCTAGACAACCCACCGGCTAATGCACTCTGCTGGCATCCCAGAGCAAATGTACTGGCTTACGGCGCCGATGAAAAGGAAAGAGACAGAGAATACGGAGCTATTAAACTTGTGAATGTTGATGCTGCGTAAATAATTATTACAAAACTATTCTTTCGGAAAAATTGGTTGAACTGAAGTTGATTGTTTTAAAGTCTGATGTTTTTTGAGCTAAATTTTGTTGTCTGTTCATTCATGTTGTAAGTTAAATTTACAGATTTTAGGAGTTAATATTCATAAAATACAAGAGTTGGCCTGGAAGGTTGCCTCCAGTTTTGCCTCTAATTTCAGTGACGAGCAATTTAGTAGCTTCAGTTTGTTCCTCATTTTTGAATTGCATCCAATGCCAGCTGGTTTTTTCGTATCCTGAAGAGGAGAAAATTGAGGATGCTAAAATTAATTCAGGACAAGTTCGGAGAGCTAAAATTAAAATGATGTCGAAAAAATTCAATTACAAACCCTTCCTGTTCATTGGTTTTCCTTGAAGAAGCTGCTTCTTCAATACCGAGAAGTGTTTTTCCTCAATATGTAAAAAGGGCAAGTAGCAATTGTATCTGAACAGAAGTTACTTTCGGGAAGTATTGTACGAAGTTGTAAGTTATGCGTTTGAAAAATTGAAAATCGCTTGTTCTCAGCTTTCTCGACTGTCTGCTGTTTACGAGAGTTAACGAGAATGTCTTTTGTTCTCTCAATTCCAAAAAATTTAATACACAGAAACTTTCAATGCAATTATCTGCAAAACAGTGATATGATCATATTTCTGTGGGTTTAATATTGATCGCACGATACGTTTTCGGCCTAGAAAGTTCGTTCAAGATTTCGTTATTTGTTATTTTCATGAAAAAGCAGCAGTCCATACGGAAATAACTGGTACGCTGTTTTCTTGGCCAGTTACTTAGTGAAACAATTTCACAAGTTTGCGAAAGTCCTAGATACGTTTTCTTGACTCTGTGCCACTAAAACGGAAATATAATACTAAATCAAACTCCCGTAAAAAGATACTACACCGTTTTCACAGGCCAAACTAAAGGAAAATTCGATTTCTTCAAAAATCATCAAATTCTACAATTTCATGAAAATTGTACAGTTTGCTTCCAGCTGATTTGCAGACATATAGCCCGAATTAAAAGTTTTTTTTTTAAAAAGCAGCGCTTTGAGGTAGCTCTTATTGATCAGAACGATAAAAAAAATCCTACTGATCAGTACTGAGATTAGCGTTTAGTTCTAAGATTTTACCATTGCATCGAAAAAAAAAAACATTTACCTACCTTGTTCACGAGAAAAAGGTTTAATTTTTTTTTCCATGTCAACAGTCCACGAAATTTTCAATTAGTTCGTTCAAAACAATTTGTAAATTTTCCATTGTAAAACATCATTTTCAAGAAAGGTGGCCAGTCAACGCAACAACGAAAAACAAAACGAGATTTTTAATACAAAAATGCTTATTACTAGCCTATAACTTTGGTGGGCTTCGTATAACATAATGTTGAAATTTTAGTGGGATTCGTATAACATGATGTTGAAGCCTTTTAGGTAGAGATGAAATCAGTTTAGTATTAACATTTAGTCGGTTAGTATCATGATCTAATGTGATTACTTCAGTAAAATATTGTCAATAGTACCTTCTTGAAAACCAGTTTTTTATTAGTAATTTTTGTATTCTTGGTCACACTGACTCTGTAGACCAAGTAGCGTGGTGTGGTAAGAACCCGGATCTGCTAGTCTCTGCTTCGGCTGACAAATCCATCCAAAATGGGACTGCAGAAACCTGTCCACTTAAATAAATATCACCTGTCACAATTGCAACCAAGGGCGAAAAATATATCTGCGCTGGAATCCTACCAATACAAATCAGGTTTGCTCGATTGTTTTGGTTCCTTTTGCTCTAAAAGACCTTTCTTTCCAACTCATATATGCTGTTCACACATGTAGGTACTCGTTTAAAAGTATGGTCGCACATAAAATTCAGACATACAAGTTTTTGAAAGTAGCTTCTAAGTTTTGCCAGTGAACTGATATTTTCGATAAAGTCAATTTAAAGGCAACTTTGGGGAGGTGATGTAGCAGTAGTTAGACAACCGCGTATTCAGACACGCTGGTAATTAGACAAATACTATTTCAACCAATCAGAATCGATACAAGGAAGAAATTATTAAATAATTAATATTTATTTCGGATTATTTATGTCCTAACTTTATTCTGATTGTTTCATACAGTATTTGTCTAAATACTGACGACCGGTTGGCTTCCAGCTGATTTGCTGACATATAGCCCGATTTAACAGTTTTTTTAAGACAGCGCTTTGAGTTAGGTGTTATTAATCAGTACTATAAAAAGGTCCTCTTGATCAGTACTGAGACTAGTTTTTAATTCTCAGATTTTACCATTGCATTGAAAAAACATTTATCTACCTTGTTCACGAGAAAAAGGTTTAGTTTTTTTCCACGTCAACAGTTCACGAAAACTTGAAATAGTTGATTCAAAAGAAGTTGTAAATTTTCCATAGTAAAACATTATTTTTAAGCTGGGTGGCTAGTCAACGCAACATAAGGAAATAAACCCGAGAGTTTTTTATACAAAAATGCTTATTACTAGCCTATAACTTTAGTGGGCTTCGTATAATAAAATGTTGAAACTGTAGTGGGCTTCGTATAACTTGATGTTGAAGACTTTTAAGTAGAGATTAAATCGGTCTAGTAAAAACATTTAGTCGGTTATTGTCATCATCAGTTTGATAATCGCTAACATTTTATCGATATCAGTTTTAATAGCCAAGACATTCAGTTCTTTCCTGGCACATTTTGACATTTTCCTGGCATGTTAAAATGTTTTATTCTGCAAAGCAGGCCAATAAAAATTAAATTCATCTTGATGTGATTACTCTTAACACCAAACATTTTTTTTTATTTTTCACTATGAATCATCAGCTACCGGAAAACTCAACTATCATTGGAATTTTTTTCGAGCGCTTGGGTAAAATTAAAACGATGTTGTTTTGATTTAACCAGATTTACTAAATGAGTTGAGGTTTTTAATATCTTCGTGAATTTATTAAATGTTTTCGAATAGTTTTGTATGGGAGTTCTCACCGCATAAATATTTCTTTGCGTTTTCAAACTAAGTATAACATTTTATGTTTAGTTGTTTATCTGGTCTTAAGTATTAAATCATAGAAAAATCAGAAAGCAAAACAATTTAAAATGGTTACTATTGCACAGTTAACTCTGATGTGATTACTTCAGTAAAATTTTGTCAATAGTACCTCCTTCTTGAAAACCAGATTCTTTAGTAATTTCTGTATTCTAGGTCACACTGACTCTGTAGACCAAGTAGCGTGGTGTGATAAGAACTCGGATCTGCTAATCTCTGCTTCGGCTGACAAATCCATCCAACTGTGGGACTGCAGAAACCTGTCCATTTAAATATCACCTGTTACAATTGCAACCAAGGGCGAAAAATGTATCTGCGCTGGAATCCTACCAATACAAATCAGGTTTGCTCGATTGTTTTGGTTCCTTTTGCTCTAAAAGACCTTTCTCTCCAACTCATATTTGCTCTTCACACATGTAGGTACTCGTTTAAAAGTATGGTCGCACATAAAATTCAGACATAGAAGTTTTTGAAAGTAGCTTCTAAGTTTTGCCAGTGAACTGATATTTTCGATAAGTTCACTTTAAAGGCAACTTTGGGGAGGTGATGTAGCAGTAATTAGACAACCGCGTAATCAGACACACTGGTAATTAGACAAATACTGTTCCAACCAATCAGAATCCATACAAGGAAGAAAATAATAAATAATTGATATTTATTTTGGATTATTTATGTCTTAACTTTATTCTGATTGTTTCATACAGTGTTTGTCTAAATACTGACGAGTATGAATATGCGGTTTGCTTCCAGCTGAATTGCTGACATATAGCCCGACTTGACAGTTTTTGTAAACCAGCGCTTTGAGTAAGGTGTTATCAATCAGTACTATAAAAAAAGGTCCTACTGATCAGTACTGAGACTAGTTTTTAGTTCTCAGATTTTACCATTGCATTGAAAAAACTTTCATCTACCTTGTTCACGAGAAGAAGGTTTAGTTTTTTCCACGTCAACAGTCCACGAAAACTTAAAATAGTTAACTCAAAAGAATTTGTAAAATTTCCATTGTAAAACATCATTTTCAAGCAAGGTGGCCAGTCAACGCAACAACGAAAAAAAACTAGATTTTTTATACAAAAATGCTTTTTACTAGCCTATAACTTTGATGGGCTTCATATAACAAAATGTTGAAACCTTACTGCGGTTCGTATAACATGATGTTGAAGCTTTTTAGGTAGAGATGAAATCGGTTAGTCTTCACATTCAGTCGGTTATTATCATGATCTAATGTGATTACTTCAGTAAAATATTGTCAATAGTACCTTCTTGAAAACCAGTTTTTAATTAGTATTTTTGTAATCTAGGTCAAACTGACCCTGTAGACCAAGTAGCGTGGTGTGGTAAGAACGCGGATCTGCTAGTCTCTGCTTCGGCTGACAAATCCATCCAACATGGGACTGCAGAAACCTGTCCACTTAAATATCACCTGTCACAATTGCAACCAAGGGCGAAAAATGTATCTGCGCTGGAATCCTACCTATACAAATCAGGTTTGCTCGATTGTTTTGGTTCTTTTGCTCTAAAAGACCTTTCTGTCCAAATCTTATATGCTGTTCACACATGTAGGTTCTTGTTTAAAAGTATGGTCGCACATAAAATTCAGACATAGAAGTTTTTGAAAGTAGCTTCTTAGTTTTGCCAGTAAACTGATATTTTCGATAATTTCACTTTAAAGGCAACTTTGTGGAGACAACCGCGTATTCAGACACGCCGGTAATGAGACAAATACTGTTTCGACCAATCAGAATTGATACAATGAAGAAATTAAAAAATAATTAATATTTATTTTGGATTAGTTATGTCTTAACTTTATTCTGATTGTTTCATACAGTATTTGTCTAAATACTGACGAGCGGTTTGCTTCCAGCTGATTTGCTGACATATAGCCCGATTTAACAGTTTTTTAAAGACAGCGCTTTGAGTTAGGTGTTATTAATCAATACTATAAAAAGGTCCTACTGATCAGTACTGAGACTAGTTTTTAGTTCTCAGATTTTACCACTGCATTAAAAAAAACATTTCTCTACCTTGTTCACGAGAAAAAGATTTAGTTTTTTTTCACGTCAACAGTCCACGAACACTTG